AACGGGCGCAACCATTGTCGTTGTACGCTAGCACGGGGCGGGGCTCGGCGATGATGTGGAACCAAACGAAGGGTGAGACAAACACGTGCAGCCGTCGGTCATCGCTGCAAGCCATGGACTCTCGGTGACCACGGAGCCCGTGTACGAGATTCGACAACACCAGTGTGACAAGGCAGAAAGCGTTGTGTCGGAAGCATAGGGAAACACGGGGGAAAACATGTACATGAAACGAGAACCTCAATCGCATGTGATTGTACCACGGGCGGGCGCAACTTCGCTGCAACCCCAGAGGCAAAGTAATACCCGTCACAACCATTCGTCGTTGATGTGAATCACGGCCCGATTGCGACCATGCACCCAACACAAGGAGAATTTTACCTCCGCACCACGAGGCCGCAGGCCTGAGGAGGACCCACGATGCACACCGAATAATAGTAGCGATGAACATTACCCGGGCCAGACCCCTTTACCGACCGGTAACACACCGCAACCAGTACCGACCGATAGTTTCCGCCAAAGCGGGGATGAAATTCGACTGTCTCCGGGGTTTCCAGCTTGTTTTGTTCATGGTGCTGTGTGCTGCTCGGAGCGCTGGTACACCACCTCAAAACACTGCTATTTGATGCTTTCACGCTGTAACCCCACATTGTTGGCGTTCTGGCACCTTCTTCGTGTATTCGATAGAGAACAATGTGGCCTAAGTGAACAGCAAGCAGTATGTGTACGGAAAAATACTCGGTGGTGACGTGATGACCACAGCACAGCTTTGTGCATTGCAAATATGTATGACAACAGGGCGTTGTGTGTCATAGACATGTTAGTGGGTGTGTGGGCGGGTGAGCAGGATGCAGGAAGGGCTGTCGGTGCGGCTCACCCCTAGGCTACAGCTCCACATCTCGACAGCACTACTATCAATCGATCAATACAAGAAAAGGAAAATCAAAATTCAAGATGATAGCTGAGTTTGCTTCAAATTATATCACGGAGCCGTGCATGGCCTCCTCTGTTCCTCCCCGAAGAATTACTGGGTAGAAAGAAAAAATAATCTATCTACGAGCCAGGGAAACCGTCAGCGGGACCATCAGCAGCTTCTCCACCACGGGTCTCCTCGAAACCGTGCCGCAAGAAGACATGCATGGTGGGCTTTGAGCCTTAAGTGTGTCAGAGTGTAGTAAGTGGTCTGCTACATATAGCTCGAGAGGGACTCGGTGTGGAGAGCTGCAGCAGCTGCCCCTTGGCACGACAAGGGCTAAGGTGGCCCCGCATGTGGGAGGGGTGGGGCGGCGGCAAGGTTTACCGCAAAATATTGATTTCACCGGTAGGGTGATGTACATCACTGAAAATTAGTGCTATGTCGCGTCGGCACCGATGCGTGCGGAATAATAACAAGAGCAACCATTGTTTAGGCAGCGGTGACCGCTTCGCAAGCTCGAGGCTACCTTGAAACGCAGATACAGCAGCAAATACCCTCGCAACCCTTATTTGATGCGGCGAAAATGCGAGGGGTGCTGACGACTTGGTCGAAAGTAATGGCTGAACAAAAAACAAGCAAATAAATAAACAAGTAAATTCGTGAGATAAATAAAAATTCAACCCGCGCGGGTAAACAACACGCATGCACCGAGGCCAGAACGAGGCCGAGAGCACTGCTGTAGCCGAATGTAGGCAACTCGAGAACGCGACTGCAACATACGTGGATCCAGAGCTGCATTCCACGAACGGAGGTGGTCGTACTTCCAGTATATATTGGCCAGTTTGTCTTCTGGGGTCTGAAACCCACCCGTCGGATGACGTACAGCGGTAGCCAGCCCAACGCTACGTGCTCGGCGCACCAGGGAAGCCTAGGCGGATCCGACGGTATATCACGACGAGGCACACACAAGACCCCACCAAGCTCCATGACGGCACTATCGCGATACAGGGAATTCAGGGACTTGCGCGCAAGGGCGATTGCTGTGTGAATTTAGAATTTACTGTAGTTTGTTGCATCCCGTGGTCGGCAGAGTCAGTGGGCGGGTGATGTAGCCAACTGCGGCTCGAGGTGCCGAGGCTGCGAGCGAAAGGCCAACGATGGCGCACCCCTCCTGATCAGACGGCAAAACCATCGCGTGCTACGAATGGAACCACGGAGCAACCATAGGTTCTTCAGAGAGCCTATTGCACGTGGGCTAGGTGCCGAACAATAGGTGTAGCAATAGATGCAGCAGTATGTGCGTCAACCGGCGAGGTCCGCGGTGAAGGGTGTGGTCTGACTGCAACAGCAGTCGTACAAAGTACTGCTGTACAGTCGAGACCGCTTTAAGGACGCCTTTTTTCGAGAAACCATGTGCGTCCTTAAAGCGGGGTTGCGTCCTCAATATTCAGGAGACGATAGCTCACCATCCCCGGGGCCAATGGAGGCATGGCATACCTCAAACTACGCGTCATTTGAAAAGGAAGGGTGTGGTACGAAAAGTCAGCATCGCCGAGACGATGGGCAACTGTTTGTTGACGTCGAACTTATATCTACACGTACTAACATGAAATGAGATATACACACACCACGTCGTTTCGAAAACAACGCCGGCAGAGGAGCATGGAGGAAAGTCCAGCCAGATAGAAATACATTATCTCATTCTTGTGAAACAACAAACAATGAGCCTACGGAACGACTATATTGTAGAGAGATGTGTTCCGGACTGATGATGATGGAGGCGATAGCAGGAAAAACACCGGCAGAACGTAGCCCTCAGTTTTCCCGTCGTGTCCCTAACCCCCTCCACCCTCGCATTCCCCCCGAAGTAATGATGTTGTCATAAGTCATTCGTCTGTTTGGTGTCGCGTTACAGTAGTAGCTGCCTATTTCGTTGTTGTTCCGGTGGACTGTATTCCTTTCTTTACTTTTTGCTACTTTTTGTTTCCTTTGTCTTTCTTCTCTCTTTTTCTTTCTTTCTGTCTTCCGTTCTTTCATCTTTTCTTGACGCAGGGTCGATCGTCTGTATCTCGGTTAGTTTTCTTTGTCGTTTGGTTGGGGAAAAATGAGTCGCGTTTGGAGGACTTTTCTGGGGTCCATTTTATATTTTTTGACTTTCTAGAAAGCCAGCTGTAGTTGTACCCTTTTTGGGAGGTAGGTGGCTTGTGAACACGGAAGGAAGGCGTCCGCGTTAGCTGGACCAGTACAGACATAAACTGGTCAACGGAGTTTTTGGTGTGAAGGCAACAACACCGAGGTTCTGCAATACAGTGCATAATCATGTCCCGGAGACCAAGCCATTATGACGGCTTTTCCCTCCACATATCGCGAAAAGTTCCCTCAACCTCCCCCGGCGGCTTGGCTCTATTTCTCCACATGATTTTGAGGAGGCATCTGATGAACCGTCGGTAGATGAGAGGAATGTTATCCGTACCAACACGCGGCTACATGTACAGCTGTAGCAGCAGGCCGCTCGCTACTTCTGTGCGCGTGCAACAAGCGGCCCGCACGACATAAACAAGGCGGGGCGTGTTGTGAACAATGTACATACCCCCTATCGTGCATTCTGTCGGCCTCTCTGGTTCTCAGAAAAAATTCCTTAAAGCGGGGAGTTTCCTGAACGCGAGCGTCCTTAAAGCGGGGTCGACTGTAGCTGCGAACCACTGCTGTGCTGTGGAATAAATCTCGATGTACCAAGATGTACAGTGGTATGTCTCTCGCCGAGCGTGCGATGCACCACGGCAAACTATCGACCACACGCCCGATCGGGTAGCCCGGATAACACCCCGTGATGAATCTCAAGAATAACCCTTTTGGCGGGTTGTGGAGATGCATGATCTTGATCGCACGTGCCAAGGTCGGAAATTTTATACACTGGGCGTCAGCCGATTTTTTTTTTTTTTCCAAAACTTTTACGTGCTCGGCCGGAAATACGTACCACACTGCTCGACACTCGACACCACCTGTGAAGCGCACAGAGCGCGCTGGTGGCCAGATGGTCCCGGGCTTGGCCGCCGGGGAATAGTCGGGTGGAGGGGCAAAGAGATACTGTACGAGCCTGCGGGTGAAGACGATCAGGCACCTCATTCATCATCGGATGCAAGACCTCCGCAACCAACGCAAAATATCAAGCGGGAAGCTGTACAGCAGTAGCTTGCTCACAACAGCCAGCGAGATCTCACCTCGCTCGTCCTCACCTCGCTCGTCTGCGCGGGTTGAGATCACAATGAAGCGATGTCCCGCCATTCACACCCCCCAGCACTCGCACACCCCCAGCACTCCCTGGCGCGGATCCGCCGTATCCGACACGAGCACCACCGTCGCGCCGGAAATAATCGCGGGAGACGGAGGAGCAGTTTTCTGGCGTAGGCGAAGATCGAAGATCGCCCTCGTCGCAGCCGCGGCCGTAGGGCCTCGGCGAGCTGGCTTGCCGTGGGAGTCAGCGACGAGCGCGTGCTATTAATAGGCATGGGTTGTCTCTTTAGTTTTCCTGTCCTCTAGCATTCTTTGAAGAAGTTTTGGTTGTTCGAAGAGACAAGTGCCAACGGGTGCACCGATTTCAAGTAACGTGGGGGGCTCGCAGCTGGTAGTGTTCCGTGCCGGAACTGGTTCCATCTGATTGGCTCCCAATTAAACGAGGGCGGATCCTGGCTTTTGGATCGACTTGTAGATGCTTCGACCTGCGGATGGATGGGTTGACGATTGTTACGTCTATGAGGATGGACTTGGTGCAGAGTTCCTCTTCTTAATCTCCCGCGTGTAAGCCTGGGGGGATTGCCAAATCCATCTCGTAGAGCCCCTTTCCCCTACCAGTGCCTGTGGTAAAAGGGGAAGAGCCGTCCACGGCAAGAGGCATGTGGCATTCGCGTAAATGTCTTTTATATCACGCGAACCATCCTGTTGTGCAGGGAGGTTGAGGCACCGGTCTTCGTGCAGACCAGGGCGTGGTGTCGGCTCAACCGTTCCTTGCACGGCGACAATGCACCTGCACCGAAAAGTCTGCCTGTGTCACATTCAGTTTGATCGTGGCTCCCCAGCACACGACCAAATGACTCTCGACACAAGTCAGACAGCATTCATCCATTCATCTGGCGACAGTCCTTGGGTTGTTAGCCACGACAAAACTCCCTTGCCTTTCACTTCCTCCACGCGGACCAACGCCCTCTTCCTTGACGTTTCCTGTGATCCGATGTTCTTGATGTCTGTCTCCACCACATAGTGCACTGCCTCATGAAGAGGTTTCGACAGGACAGCTTGAGCCCCAAAAACTTGGTAGTGCCGGCCAAATTCATGTCGGCCGCATGTCGATGGTGTTTGCCATTCCTTGTCAGGGTTGTCGCCTCCACTGCTTCTTCCCACCTTCCCAGCCTCCATGAAAAAACTCCGTGTGTGTGTTGTGGTTTGCCTCGCTCGCCATCTATCCGACGCGCAGTAGCCTCCCGGCAAGCCGAAACGTTTGTTGTACAGCGTGGTACTCTATGGACGCCTCGTGCTTTCGCAAAAACAACCAACTGGCTGTATCCTCGCCTGCAACAGTGGTATGTTGAAGCAAACACCAGGGCACACACGAGCACAACGCAGAAACTCCTGTTGCACACAGCAGTAACATAGATGCAGAATTAGACGTGACTATTGTAGGTGCCTAGAACAGAGCTTATATGCCCTCTCCAAAACCAAAACAAGTGTGGAAGGGTACAATGCCCCAAACACGCACACCATAGGTGACACAAGATATCATTCCCCCACCCCCCCCGATTGTCAGAGCTAAAGCAGTGGCGCAGGATCCCGACGGAGATGTGTCATCCAAACGATACGTTTTGGGGAAGTGGTCGACGAGAGGGTTCCAACGCCGACATTTTCCACGTCGCCACTGTTTCTCCTGTGGAAAAGTGGAGCATTGGAAAATAGCAGAAAATAGTCAAAGGGGGGGTGATATCTTGTGTCACCCTACGGTATCGTTATCGAACATCGGGATGAATGATGAAACGACGGTATCCACGGTACGTGGAGGTGATAACATGGATTTGGCGGTGCTAATTATCTTGCAACCTTGCTCAAGGGAAGCGGTCACTTGCTTTGTTAATAAAATATAAAATTTCAATTGAGATTTTTCATGCCCGCTCCCTTCCCCCTGCGCACCGCCTCCGCCCCCTCGCCGCATGTACTCGAACGTCAGGAGGGACAGCGCCGATGACAAGTACTTGGCGGCGCTGGAGATTAGGGCTTATGGGCTAGGGAATCAATGCCAGCGCGCGGGGGAGGGGGGGTCGCGCGCTATTAACATGTTTTGCGGCAAGGGAATGGAGGACATTCCTCGTGATGTGTAACTAGCGTTGTTTCAATAGGCTCTTCCCTACGTGTCTGTTCCAAGTCACTAAAGTTTTTTGTTGTTGTTGTCCAGTTGCACTGGCGCAGTGCAATAACAGCGATGCTGAAAAAAATTATGCGGGCAGGTCGCGAGCAAGTGTACCAGGGTTGTTATTGGGAGGGTACTCAGGCTTACATGGTCAGAAGAGTTGAGGGGCGGCGCTCGACGGAGTTGTTCTTGAATTTGATAAGTATGTTTTTCTATCATGATCAAAGAGGGACACTTTGCCAAGACGCGCCTAGGAAGGACGGGCGATATCCCACATGTATGTTTTGTATTCGACTCCATCATCCTTCTCGAAAACGGTTACGAGCAAAAGGGACGCCAAAAAATGGCGAGACACTGTCGGACCCCCGCCATATGCAACGACTTGTCTAAGATAACAGCCGAAAAATAGAAAACAAATCCGCTACCCGTCAAGCGCATATGTCGTAGCGTTGGTCTTGGTTGAATGACGGGATGCCGTTTTGTTCACGATCGAAACAAACCACGCGTAGGCCCAGCGACAATCGACCTTCTTCCTTGAGTGTATTATTCTAAAATAACTCGGCTGCGTAGCAGCCACACAGAGATCCGGCTGTCCCTTCCCCCGATTTTGGCTTCGGCGCCGCTCAAGCTCGATGGCCTTTTCGTGATATTTTTTCAAGTTCTCGCCTGTTCTCGCCTCCTCTCCCCCGCCAAATAAACACTCCTCTTCCTGTCACCAGCGGCAGAGGGTTGTGGTGGGTACTCGGCAATCCTTCCGCAAAGGCACAAAAAAAAAATGTACACATACTGTAGATTCATCCGCAGAGAATAAAACAAAACTTTTACAAACCTAAACTCATGTGCAATACATTGAATATTAATCGTCCGCGGACCCCTGCTCGTGCGCGATGTAGAGCAGTTCATACTCATCAAAGATCTTGACCTCAGCTAACTTTCACTCTCGGGGGCACTTTTCACCAGGTTACACCTGCCCCCCCGTGTCGCACCCAACCGACGAGTGCGAGGGAACAGCGAAGGCAGCCGGATCCGTATCGACCTCGAGCGGTTAACGAAGGACAAACACCTACGGGTCGCCTTCCAAAACAGGGCCCCCAGCCGCCCTCCGCCCACGGCGCTCAGGCGACCAAAGGGAGAGACCGCCGAGCTGACGGCTACGGTGATGTCGGCCGCAGCTGAGACCGCCCGCTGGCGACGTGCGCACGAGGGCAGAAAGGCTGGTACACGAGCGAAGCGCAGCACGAGATCTCCGAAGCGTCTAAAGAGATTAGGCGGCCCAGCAGCAACTGCGTGGGGCCTCAAAGAACAGCACCTTCGAGGCGACCCTGAAGGCGATGCTCAAGGCGGCGCGGAAGAAGCGCAGCATCGCGAGGTGAAGAGTACTGGAAACGTTCTTCGAGGGCTATGCACGGCGGCTCGAGAAGAAGAGCCGCGAGGGGGATCAGGCGGGTTTCTACAGGCACCTGAAGATGATCGACGTCGAAGGTAAGAGGTCCTTCACATCTCAGAACACCAAGGACGAGGACGGCAAGGTCCTTCGGGACCCCACGTTTATTCGCCAACGCTGGGCACGGTGGTTCCACAAGCTTCTCAACACCAAGTCGCCGACCATCGACCTGCATGCGGCTGACAAGGTCAAGCGGTCGCCCACGTGCGTGCCACTCCACGACATCCCATCTCTACTCGAGGTTGAGGAAGCGGTACAGGAAATGGCCAACAGAAAGGCCGTCGGGCCGGACGACCTACCGGCTGAGCTGATCAAGCTTTTCCTGGACGGAGATCAAGGCCTTTTCGCACGCCATCGTCGTGACGTGTGGTAGACGGGGGACGTGCCACAGCAGGGGAAGGATGCCACCATCAAAGCGCTGTTCAAGAAGGGGGACACAATGGAGTGCGGCAACTACAGGGGCATCTCTCTCGTCGCACACGCCGGCAAGGTGCTGCNGTGCATCGGCTGGAGCAAGCGGAAACGCTCAGACCGCCCCCTGACCTATGCCCAGGCCCTCGTCCAGGCCGGCTGCGAGGAAACCATCGAGGCCACCGTGCGCAAACGGAGACTGTGTTTCGCGGGCTTTGTTATGCGCATGGAGACAACCGCCTACCCACGCGCATGCTGCTAGGAGCGATGGCGGCGGGCGTGGGATACCGGGGCGGGCAGGAGAGCGACTGGGTGTCTCGTCTAGGAGAGGACCTCGTGGCCTTCAACATGGGAGACGAAAAGGAAGGGGGGAAATGGGAAGAGAGCGCCAAGGACCCGGAGGTGTGGTACAACAAGGTCGAGGACGAGGCGGCATGGTTCATGAGGAAATGGCACAGACAGGACGCGGAAGCGTCCGCGAAACGCCAGCGCGCGAGGGAAGCAGAAGCAGAGAGTACGGCCATTTCGGGACCGAAGAGAAAGAGAGTCGGGGAAGCGGCGGTGGGGGGGGAGCGGCGACCGGGCACTGCTGTAGAAGCGAGTAGGGCGGCCGAGGCAGCACTTTTGGCGAACCATGTACCCGGCTGATGTTGTTGCACCCTGTTTCCCTCCCTGCTGTATGCTATACTCCTGTAAGTCCTTTGTATTGCCTTCGGCCTCTGTGCTGTGCTTCTTTGTTCATGTCCTCCCTGCCTACTCTGCCTTGTTGGGTACCTTGATCTCCCTTTAGCCGTTGCTTTTGCTTTTATACATCTGGCTGTTGCCCCATCTGCCGCCTCTTTGTTCTGTTGCCTCCATTACTCCCATGCCCTGGTGCGTAGTGCCCGGTGCTGGTACGTTACCCTCTGATTTTTTTAGGCGAGTGTGGGAAGCGTCCTCCTTTTTATTTTTTGTTTTGTTTTATTTTGATCGGTTTCCGAGGGCTCTTTACCGGTCGGCTCGGTTGCTGGTGTTTTCTGTCTAGATATCATTTTGTTTTCTTTTCCCGAGTGGTTTGTACCCTATTTTTGTTTTCTTTCCCCGCGGCGTTGTATGTGCCGGGATTTTGCTATCAAGGGCTCCCCATTTTTGTGGACTTTAGAGCTAATTTGAGAAACAACAGCAACAACAACAACAACCCCCACCACAAGCCCTTCCCGCTTGAAGGCAGGGTAGTTTCAGAGGGCGGGTTCTGCGGTTGTCTTAAAAACCCGACTGCTGCTAACAAAAACAGAGTGGGCTACTGCTATTTTGAACCAAATTTGTCCATTCTTTCGTAATTTGTTGGGCATACAACAATAATACGCTGTGGCCAAACCTCGCATTGATCGGCAGGCTGCACTCGCCATTCGTGGAAGTCCATGTGTGCCTGGCCCTTACCATCAACCCGCGGACCTTTTCTTCGACCGAAAATCGACATTTTGGTCTCAACTTGAGGTTGTACGTCACTGCCAGCAATCGAGCGGACGATTCCAAACACCAGCATAGTACAGCGGTAGGCATCAAACACTAACATTGTGCACGAGCTGTCTGCTAAGGCCCAAGCCCGAACTACTGTGGCCTTCATTTCAAGCCCCAAAACGATCGGCAGCAGCTGGCGTGGTCGGCCTGCAAAAAAGGTGTGGTGCCAACTCCACTCACAGCCACCCACGTGGGACCAAAACTTCAGGAAGGGTCTGCCTGGGTACCATCTTCGACTCCTTACCTTGTGGGTCCGCCATGATGATGCTGGAGCAGACGGCGCCGAGGGCGCTCAGCAACCCAGCTGTGATTGCGCCATAATGATTTGACTAGAAGTGCGATTCCCCCTGTTTCTGCCACTCTCGTTGGACCACATTTCACAGTCCCGTTAGTTCTCTTCTACGAAACCGTCTAAATGAGCTGTATTTGTCAGAGGAAAACTGCGATCCCGGGTGCGGCCAGTAGACCGTACGCTGTGCTACAGCAGTATCTCTCTGCAGGGTTATTGTGCGGAATCCCGGGCTGAAGTTTTCCCCAAATTTCCCGCCTACGGTTGGCTGGCCGGGGGAGTTTGTCTGTCTCGAATACGCTTGTCTTGGAGGGAAGAGCCTTGGAATCTGCGTGTGTGCAGCAGTCCAGAGCAATAGCTATTTCAGCGGCGAGATTTTCCCCGAACCGGAACTTCAAATTCGGCGGGGCAACCAATTCTAGCCATTCGACCACTACTGCTGTCAGCTGTCAGTCACTCGGCGTTGGGAGTCGCGGGCAACGACGGTTCCTGCACCATGAACAAGTCCTCTCTCACGTACTTGATAGGGGCGTCCGTCTTCGCCACAGGTATCTTGTGCTCATTCCTGCTGGCCAGGCTCGCGGAGTCCTCTCTCGCCGCGCTCGAGGAGCAGGTCTACATCGATGAGTCGGGTTTCTTCGCAGAGAGGTGTCTCTCTCTGTTCGCGACGACCTCGTTGATGCCCGGGCTCGTCGACGCCCTGAGCCTCATCAATGTCACCAACCGCGAAGAATTTGAAACCCTGTCCAGGGAGCAGGCGAGCACGGAAGGAATAGCTATTAACATAGCCCTGTTGAGAAGGGTAGACCCGTTGCTCGCAGATTCCGCGACCACCGACATTGGCGAGCAGTACAACAAAACCGTCGACCTGATATACATCACCGATCAGGACGTGCAGGGCGACCTCTTCCTCGTGGAGTACGTGCTTCCGACGGCTGTTCAAAGCTCGCTGGGTTTGGTGGTAAACTCCGAGGAGTCCAGGGCGGACGTTATAGACACCGCGGTGCGGTCGGGGGAACCGACTTTCCTGGACAACATCGCCCTAGCAGACACGGGAGACCACGGGAGGCTGGCCTACTACCCCATAGTCTCCAGCTCCTTGTGGAGTTCTGTCGATATTATTCTCAACATGGTATTTAGATACAACGCCTTGTTCGAACCGTTCGTGGTGCAGTTTTTGTCGACGTTCCCCAACAGCGAAGCAGAGATTTTGGTGGACGGAAACAGGGTCATCGACACGAAACCACAGAGAGACCTGGACGGAGACAACTCGATGCTGTTCACCTCGGGCATAATGGACGTCCTTGTCTCAGAGTTTGACCGTTCGGAGCACGGCAACGTCTTCGCCTACGTGTTCGTTTCCGGCGCGGCCACCGTTAGCAGCCTGTTGGTTGTTGGTTTACTCTTGAACCGTTCCAGGGTCAAGGCTGAGCGGTACTCGAGCCTGAAGTCGAAGTTTGTCGCCGATATTTCTCACGAGATCCGAACGCCCATGAACGGAATTCTGGGAATGTCGGAGCTCCTGGCGGATATGGACCTTGACCCGACGTCCAGGTACTACGTGAAGACCATATCATCGTGTGGAGCTTCTCTCATGACGCTCGTCAACGATATCCTCGACATGTCCAAGATAGAGGCCGGGCTCCTGGACATCAGGGAGGACACCATCACGGTGCAGCGCACTGTGAAGCACGCCGTGGAGAGTCTTTGGGTAGCGTATAGGATGAAGCACCGGTCCAACATGGACAATCTGCAGATGATCCTGGACTTCGAAGCTGGCGTACCCGAGAAGATCGTCGGCGACGGGTTCAGGATACAGTAGGTGCTCAGCAACCTGCTGAGCAACTCCCTGAAATTCACCGACGCCGGCTTCATCAAGATAGTCGTCTTTTGCGTCGGCAAGGGCGACTTTCAATCCAGAGCCAAGTCCAGACGCAAGTTGAGAGGCAGAGCCGTGTCCCTCGTCGAGGAGGGGTACTCCAGGTCCACGGCCGAGCCCAGAAGAAAGTCTAGAGCCACGAGCTACATCTCCGTGAGCGTTGAGGACACCGGGTGCGGCATGACGGAGGACGGCGTGAAGGGGGCCTTCGAGGCCTTCAAGCAGGTCCACTCCAGGACGGACGTAGGGGGGACGGGGCTCGGGCTGAGCATCTGCAGGCAGCTGTGCGAGCTCATGGGGGGGGATATTGTATGCTCTAGCATTCTAGGGGTGGGGACCACCGTCACGTTCACGGTGGAGGCCAAAGTCCCACCCGGACATGACAGGACCGCTCCACCACTCAGGAACGTGTACAAGAACGAGCCCGCAGAAGTGGAGAAAACGGACGACAATTCCGCATCGTCGGTCTCGGACGCCCTGGAACCCATTCAATCCATGAAGCCCCAAGAAAACTCGACGCACCCGAAGATCCTCGTGGTCGACGATGTGCTCATAAACAGGAAGCTGCTGTCGAAGATCCTCCAGAGCATTGGCGTAGAGGCCGACACGTGCGACAACGGCCTCCAGGCGGTTCAGATGTGCGATGTCTGCAGGTACTCGCTCATTTTCATGGACATGGTCATGCCCGTAATGGACGGGGTGGAGGCGTGCAAGGAGATCAGGTCCACAAGAACCAACAGCGAGACCCCCGTGGTCTTCATCACGGCAAACGTACAGTCCAACGAAATAGCGAGGTGTGAGAAGGCGGGGGGGCGCGGTTTCATCTCGAAACCCTTCAGCAAGGCCATGATCGTGGACGCGATTGCCAGGCACTGTTCCCCCGAGGAGAAGGAACACATGAGGCGGTACCTCGAAGACGCCGGTGCACAACGGACAACCAAGGACCCTGAATCAGCGTAAGTGGCGTATTGTATCGTAGATTGCTTCGGGCCACCACGCTGTTCCTCTAGGATTGTTTTTTTGAGGTGGTATGAGTAGGTGCCGCAGGTGGTGTGAGAAGGAGTTGGATAATAGTCTAATGTGGTAAATCCGAAGTGCATATGTATACATAATATACGTGTCGGGTTTGGTCGGCCCAAATGCACGAGTAACAGCAACAAATAATAGTAAATGTTAATGTTTCCGTCCAAACACGGCGGAATACTCTATCACGCATCACTTGGCAGAGGTATGCCCGAACCTCTCGTTGGCAGGCTTGTCCTGGCCTCGAGGAATAAAATGATGTATTTACGTATATCGGGCAGGAGCACATGCTACCATTATATTGTCTACAGTATTGCGCGCGCACGTAAGAAAGAACACATAGTAAATGGAGCTGCCGAAAGCCAGCAGCGAAGAAACGATCAGCCTTGTGTATCTAGCGAGCAAAGAGTATGTTTGAAAAAACTGTCTCTTGCCTGATGTCCATCTCCATCATTCATCATTCGCTGATTCCACCCTCGCTTTAACTTCGTGCTATCGCACGCTTTGTCCAACAACACCTACCTATCTTTCTTCTTCTACATTTCGCAGCTGGCCTAGGGAACAGCCGCTCGCTGCTGTAGACAAGTCTGACCGCATGCACCTACAGTGTTGATCAGTTTGTGTATATTTGTGAGGTTGTTTCGATATCAAATTTTGTTCTTGGAAATCTGCCACACATCAAAAATCATTTGTAGAAGTTGATTTCCCTCTGGCAAGTTGTTGTCCGCTCGAGCTGGCTCCAACTGCAGAGTTCGTGCCGGCATGCGAGCGTTATGTATCTGCCCATCGTATATATAACACAGCCTATCCGGGCAATGGGCATGTTGTCTTGTGTCGCTCGCGGGAAGCTTGACGCCCAAGTCCCGAAGGAAAACCTCGTACATTAGATAGAACGTCATAAACCATCAACAAGTTGTTGTGTGCGTGCGAATTTCGGCAATGAACTCCGCGTCGAAAGGCGGCAGAGGTGTGCTCCGAACCTCTTGCCGGCAGTCTAACTACATAGGTTCACACACAATCTTCCTGTGGCATTGGACGGGGCTTCAATTTGATGCGGGTGGCCAACGCTAAGGCCCAATTTTATTAAGATTGGAGCAATTTCGTGCCGAGCACCTGCTGCGTGCCCGAGTTTCGTGTTTGATAAAGTCCGATCACAAGAATACGTACAAAGTCATCAATCATCAAGTTGTTGTGTGCGTACAAACTTCGGCCGGAAAACTCCGCGTCAAAAGGCGGCCGAGGTGTGCTCCTAACCGCTTGGTGGCAGAGTCTAAACAGGTTTACACATGATCATTCCTGTTGTAGATTGGACGGAGCTTCAATTTGATGGCGGGTAGCCAACGTTTACGCGAAAGTGCATCGAGATCGGGACGATTTCGTGTTGTTTCGTGCCGGAAGAACCTGCTGCGTGCCCGTGTTTCGTGCTATACACCGACACCGCCGCACGTCAACAACGCAGGAGGCGCCAATCAAGCTGGAACTTGCAGAGGCCGTCTCAAGTAGTGCAGTACGGCCGATGGTTTATTCCTCGCGCCTTGGGCGTTCGGGTCAAGAAAGCGCGTGGTTCAGAGCTTCGAAGTGAACGGCGACATAGAGACAGACAGACAGACCGACAGACACTTTTTTTACCGTTATGTGAAACCTCTAGAGATCGTATCGGTCTCCTAAAGGAATTTCAGGTCGGCACAACAACAATTGTGAGGCACATGCTTGTTGTATGGGATTGCTTGCCCCGAGAATCCATGAACGGGAAATTGGTTAATTCATCTGTCCTCGCCCGTACGAAAGTGCAATATACAGAAGTACTCTAGAAAATAGGCGAGTAGCCCGGATATCTAGGGAAAGAGGCCACCATTCCCAGTCGTACCCCCGATGGCTCTTCCAGCTTTGCCCCCAATTTCGAAGAGCGGCCTTTGCGATGTCCTCGGAAACCACGTCGCCCACCGCCACACACGCTCAGCGTCTGAAGGCCGATGCCGCTGTTCCAACGCACCATGACATTTAACATTTGAATTTCGATGAAGCTAGCGTTGAGACCCTCCACGACATTTTCTCCGTTCCCTTGCCTTGCGTTTCTTCATTAACGCCTGTGTTCCCTTGCCTTGCCTGTTTCACACCACCGTCCGCAGAGGCATATGACGAAAGGGGCCTGTGGCATATGTCATGGCGGTGCCTTTCTCCAGCCCAAGCTTGTCTTTCGGTGCGAGCACTGCCGACCTCATCTGCTGCGGCCCATGAAGACTCGAGACCAGGATCTAACGGGAGACGGAGGATGAAAAAAGGTGTTCTGTGGAGACCACCTTCATAAAGGTTGAAACTCCCCAACGTCTGTCGAGGACGAAACCCTCCTTTCGACAATGGCGTCGACGAAGAGATGTCAGCGTGTCTGCTTTTGGTTGCAAAAGACACGGGTTCAAAACCCGCTGCTCACCTAATTTTCTTCCGGGGTACGGAAACAAGAAAAACGGTGGGTGGGCCAAGAAACGATGCACTGTCTATCGAACTCGAAACTTCTGGCAATGCGTGGCGGAAGTGGCGCACCCGCACAGACGCACAAAATATTGTTGGAAAAAAGGTGGTTCTACTCGCCGCCAGCCGGTCGGGTTCCGGTTACCCCAAGAAGACTTCTCTTGCCTAGCAAACAAGAAGAAGCCTCAAAAAAGGGGAGGGTAACGTGGAGACCACCTTCGTAAAGGTGTAAACTCCCCAACGTCTGTCGAGGACGAAACCCTCTTTTCCACAATTCGTTCCTTCTTTTTTATGTTTCGTGGGGGGCTTTGCCGGAACTCATCCGCGCCCTCTGTGTCGCACTTGTGGTGACACCAGACCAGTCTTTGATCGTTCGGGTCATCTAATTTACCGTAGGACATACGTTTCGTAGCGTACAGGACATGAAAGATGAAACAAGGAGGCTGTTTCAACAAAAAGGGCCAACCCTGGACCTCGAAAGGACATCTCGCCGAGCTTCAAGAGGATCGGCATTCAATGGCTGGGCATCAAAACTTCGGCCCGTATGTGTGTGCAAATCATTTTGGTCCACCCATGCCCTTAACTCGGTGCAAGTGCGAGGCTATTTCCTAGAAGACGTTGATGTAGAATCTTTCGAAGATGACGTTCAGCTCGCGAAGGCTGTCTGTGTTCGAAAACCTCGCATATGGCACCCTCCCCTTTTTGACCTTTTTCGCAACTCCACGCAACCCACGGGTCTTCGTCATCTCCCGCCTCGTTCCTCTTTGTGGTACAGAAGATCGCTCACTTGGGAATGCATCCGTTCCAACGCGACCTCTGTTGGCCCTCGTTCATAACGTTCCGCCGACCACAAAAGCCGGGGTCGTGGGTGACTTCACCGATTATTTCGATCACGGAGTCCACAAAATCGATTCTTCCGGGTTGGCACACACCGATCCCAAAGGACCAGCGTCAAGCGTGACTTCCCCTAGGAGACCGATACGGTCTCTAGAGGTTTCACAGAACGGTAAAAAAAAACGAGTATGTCCGTCTGTCTGTCTATCTGTCTGTCGCCGTTCACTCCGAAGCTCCGAACCACGCGCTTTTTGACCCGAACCCGAGGCGCGAGAAATCAGACCATCGACCGTCCTGCAGAATGATTGGCGCCCCCTGCGTTGATGTTTGGTTGTGTCGATGAATGGCCTTTTCAAGCACGAAACACGAGCATGCAGCAGGTGCTGCCGGCATCAAATTGCTCCGATCTCGATGAATTTGTGCCTATATGGGGCCTATCTATCCTGCATCAAGTTGAAGCCCCGTCCAATCTACAGCTGGATTGACAAGTCCCTTGACGCTGGAATAGCTGTGTGCTACCAATTTTGCCTGCCAATAAGAGGTTGGGTCACACCGCTGCAACCTTCCGACGCGGAGTTTATTCCGCCGCATGTGGCACGCACACAACAAGTTGATGATTGATGCCTCTCTCTTTCGTCGTCGGAACGCATCATTGTCATCCATCCATCCAGCGTTTCCTTAGTGGTTCGCTCTCGAAAGGGTGTCTCGATCACTCTGAACGTAGACCGATCCTTCGATCATTCAAACTCATATGCCTGGCGGTCTGTCGTGTTGCAACTGAAACAAATCAGAGAGCCTCTGCCAATATCTTTCTCGACCACTCTTGATTAGAGTTCATCCTGTCTACGGGGATATACATGAAACAATTATCATCCTGTCTACGGGGATATACGTGAAACTATTACCAGTGTGCCTTTGAAGTGTATCCTCCCATACTTGGTAATCGTTTCAAGAACGGAGGCGAAACAGACACTTCGAAATTGTTTAAAAATCGGAGCGAAACACGCGATTGGAAATAAGTGTCCTCCCACGATCGAGAAAGATTGTAAAATTGAAGGCGAAAGGCACTTCTGATTCATGTGTGTCTTGCGAGGAAATATCGACTTTGTAACACCTGCATTCTGTGAAAATAGAGATATGGCCATAGGCGTGCAATAGTCTGAAGGAGCATGCCGTAGGACTGCTCAATGTAGTACTTCTCATCCGCGCAGAGGCAAGGAGTTGCAATACGAGGCCGAACAGAGTCCGTGGCGAATGCTCACACATGCTGCAGATGCACGTTGGTTTAGGTTTCAGTTGACTGGTAAGGCGCAGAATCTGCCTGTTGTAGTTCAACTGCAAGTGGAACAGCAACTTCATCCTTCGATAGGCGTTTCGTGAGGGAAGCTTTAAAGACGAAACGTGTTTCGCTTTTGTAGTACGCCAAGGGCACGACATACATTTGAAAGCAAGGGTCGGTTCTCAACAATCTCGTACAACACACTCGTTCTTTGGCAGCAACGATAGAGATGTCGCCAAAGTCGGCTACCTGCGCTGAGCCGTACGCGCCGAATTCGTCATTCCAGGGGGCCTATACGCGTGCCGGAGTCATTGTGGGATGTCATCATCCTCCCATGCCAGATCGCATCAACCATCATGCCACGATTGTTCAGGGTACTCCATGGCAATAATTAACCCTTTTTGCTTCGGCCACACAACAATGATGGTGCTGAACTTGTTGTTCGTCGTACAAAACAAACCCGAACGCCCGATAGAAGTTTATCGTGATTAACGACGTGATCGACAACGCCAAGGAACATAAACGAAGGTGTTCGAGAGTAACAAGCGCGCGAATAACCCGCCAGTTGTATTAGACACATGGACGTGATGAGGTCTCATAAAAAGTGTCAACGGATAATAGCGCTTAAGCGAAGTTTACCCATATCTTATGTCTGTGTTAAATGAAGCAAAAACATGACTGATGACCACGGCAAGCTGCTAACGCGGTCCATTCAGCTGCTAGGGACAATGAGCGTAGTCCGAGCTACGCCACGATGGCCATATGTATGTGTTGTGTGCCCGAGACAACGCTTTTGATACCATAGTTCAGGGTATGGCCGAAACAGGTTCTTGTTCCCGATGTGCATGCCATACGATTCCATCTTCCGAAGTATTCCTCAGTGACAGACGCTGAAGCTAACTATTAGATCTTTGGAAATGTATGTCGTTGTTGCTGTTCTTGAATACACGCGGTATCCGTGAACAGTTGAGGTAGTAGTCTCTACAACAAGGGGCGTCTCATTCTTCTGTTAAGTGAATTTCTCACGCTCCTTGGGACTCTCATCCTGTTCTTCAACGTTTGTCTGCGTTTCTTGCTCTCAGAGATCCAGGAACGGTTTTCCTCCCACACCCGGCTCGCATTCTAAAGTAGAGACAATGGGAGTGTCTGGGCTCACCTGGGCATCAGCGCTTGTCGATACCTGTCGACTCTGTGCGGAATCCAACCTCGGTTGAGTGACCATCTCTCCGTCTGATTGAGAGAGCTGGTCTTGTGTGAGACTCTCTGCAGGCGTTGCTTCCTAGTTATCGCTGGAGTTACTTCAAGATCTTGCCTGCCCGGGTGCAACGTTGCCAGCCCTTCGATGGCAATATCCTCAAGGTCTGAAGGACCCCGAGAGACACCCCGACTTTTCTGCCGAAACAAGACTTCTCTCGTCATGGGAGGAAAAAAAACGTTCAGCCAGGATGTTCGCAGCCGCACCTGTACCATCCGTTGAGGCACCATGTATGCTTCGGTCTTTAAGGTAATGTCTTTGTCCCCCCTGATTTTGAACAAACGTTGGAGGATGACCACTCACTGTAGTCTGTTGGAGTTATTGGTGTCTGACTCAAACGTGTCCTAATTGGTATTTATTGTGTCCAAAACTTCGCAACTGTACGCCTATCCCCCCCAGCGAATAAAACCAGTACTTCGAAGCCGATCGCTGCCTACAGATAGTTACGGCCGTTTTAAACGGACCGACTTTTTTGTCAAAATTTTCGACATTTGTCTTTCAAAAACTTGGAACCTGTGTGCAGTCATTTTAAACGTGTGACGTGGACTTGTGCAACTTGTGTAAAAAAAAATGACGCCGTCCGTGAGTTGTAGCGCTCACTTCGAGACAACACACACGACACAACACAAACCGCGGAAAACACGACATCATGGACACCGACATGGATATCACGACCACCCAGCGTGGCCGGCAGACCAAAACCCCGGCGAAATTCCAGCAGACGGGCTCTCTCGGTGCCGCCGTAGGCGGTGGAGGCTTGCTCTCCAGCAAGATAGTGCTGCTGCCTGGCATCTCGGGGAACACTCATGTTACCACGGGAGGCGCTGCCGCCACCAACACTCAGAGCGAGGGTGGAGCAGGCCGCCGGCGAGGGGTGGCAACCACTGCTCCTACCCCCCCGGGAAAAGGAAAAAACAAAGCGGCGGACGCGAAGCAACAACTGCAAGCCATCATGGCGGACCGCCGTTTTTCGACGACACAGCAACAGCAGACAGCATCGTCAACGTTGGCAACAGCGACGATAGCAATAGCGACAGCGACAGATGACTCGCACACAACCCTAGCTGACTTTCTACGGTGAGGGGCACTCGTGGTGCAGACGCAGCAGCCCTCGCGTGCCTCTGCAAGGGTACTTTGGAAAGTGCTCCAAATACTTTGAGAGGGTTGTCAAAAAATTGGAACGAAGTGGAGCAAAGTTTTCGCGCCCAACTTCGTTCCAAATATTTTTGAAAAAAATGGACAAACGCCTACATACAGGTTCCATTTTTTTGACACTTTCAAAATTTTTGACAAAACTCGGTCCTTTTAAAACGGCCCTTAGATAGATGTAGTTGCGAAAAGGATCGATTTCATGTGTTTTTTTGGGACAAGAACTGACCCAACGGCTGTCAACAGACACGAATAAACCGCTGTAGTTCGAAGAAAAACCTGGTCCGTGCCTGCCATTAGGAATTTGAAAGGCCGTTTGCAACGAAACAGACTGTGTGTGCATTCTTTTCAAGGGTGTGTTTAGAAGAGTAGAGTATTTTGAGTAGAGTATCGACAGTCGTACTAAAGGTTTAGTAGAGTAGAGTATCGGGAGTAGTACTAAACCTAATAGTAGGTCGAGTAGAGTATCGAGAACTCTACTAAAACTTTAGTAGAGTAGAGTATCGGGAGGAGTACTAAACCTAATAGTAGGGTGAGTATCGAGACCTCTACTAAAGGTTTAGTAGAGTAGAGTATCGAGACCTCTACTAAACCTACTATTAGGGTGAGTAGAGTATCGAGACCTCTACTAAAGGTTTAGTAGAGTAGAGTACCGAGCTCCTTCCCGTTGATACTCGTCTTTGGCCTTGAACGACTCGATGGAGTCGATCGTAACCTGCGGCACGACGAAGTCGTCGCCGCTCTTCGTGTAGATCGGAGCCGGCTGCTTGAGGCGCACCGCCGCTGAGTCTACTCCTGCAGAGACTTCGACCACGTCCTCTGATGGTGCATCGGTACCCGCTCCCGCTCCCGCAACGCTAGATGCGGCGGCGCTAGATGCGGCGGATCCACCGGCGGTCTCACTCATAGCTACCACCTCCCCTGCCCGCTACTCGCCTACTCGCTACTCGGTACCTACAGGGTCCGTGCGTCCGTGAGTAGTGAGTAGTTGTCTGCGTGGTTACCAGTACTTGTGTGCGTATTACGCCGCTTCTGCCAAAGAATGACGTCACGAACACGTCCTTTGGTCGAGCATCGGGTAGATACCCGAGTGACTGCCCGAGCGGGTAGAGTACAGTACCGGGAGTAGTACTAAAGCTGTAGTAGAGTAGAGTATCTGGAGTAGTACTAAACCTACTATTGGGCCGAGTACAGTATCGGGAGTAGTACTAAACCTAATAGTAGGTTGAGTAGAGTATCAAGACTTCTACTAAAGGTTTAGCAATAGTAGAGTATCGAGACCCTACTAAAACTTTAGTAGAGTAGAGTATCGAGATCTCTACTAAACCTAATAGTAGGTTGAGTAGAGTATCAAGACTTCTACTAAAGGTTTAGCAATAGTAGAGTATCGAGACCCTACTAAAACTTTAGTAGAGTAGAGTATCGAGATCTCTACTAAACCTAATAGTAGGTTGAGTAGAGTATCAAGACTTCTACTAAAGGTTTAGCAATAGTAGAGTATCGAGACCCTACTAAAACTTTAGTAGAGTAGAGTATCGAGATCTCTACTAAACCTAATAGTAGGTTGAGTAGAGTATCAAGACTTCTACTAAAGGTTTAGCAATAGTAGAGTATCGAGACCCTACTAAAACTTTAGTAGAGTAGAGTATCGAGATCTCTACTAAACCTAATAGTAGGTTGAGTAGAGTATCGTGACCTTTACTAGACCTAATAGTAGGTTGAGTAGAGTATCGAGACCTCTACTAAACCTAATAGGAGGGTGAGTAGAGTAGATACTCGAGTATCTACCCGAGAGTAGGTTGAGTAGGTACTCTACTGAACACACCTTGCATTCTTTCTGTTTATCGCAAGAAGAAAAACTCTTCGATTCATACCTACACCCCAACACAGAAGTTGAGCAGAGATAGCCTTCCTTTATGAAGGGGAGCTGCTGGTGGTTATCAGCAACTGCCAAGAGACAACCTGTCTCGATGACGCGGTTGCTGGTAAACGACGACCACTACCAGCAACTGCCAAGAGATAGCCTGTCTGTCTCGATAACGCGGTTGCTGGTAAACGATGCACAACAGCAGCAATTAATTGCCAAGAGACAACCTGTCAACCTATTAGACAAGATCTTGGGATTCTCCTGTCAACCGGTCGGGCAAGGTCTCAGGCTCTTCCCAGGATCTCAGACAAAGGTCCTGGATCTTTCCTTCCTTGACACAACAAGCGGTTTCGTGTACACTGTGCTGTCAGTGGTACCTCGGCCCCAACCGCGACATTTCTTCTCTGTGTAACTCCTACGGCCACTAGACTATAGATTCTGTAGACTTCATCATGGCAGAGAAAAATATCCCACCGAGAAAAATTCGACGAAGAGCGCCGAACTGAAAAAGAGAGCTCCGTCCTGTAAAGAGAGAGTTCCGACCTGTGGAGGAGGGAGCTACGACCTGTACAAGAAGAGATCAATGAGCGGTCTCTATCTCCCCCCGTCAACTATTACACGGGTGGCCAACAGACCGGGTTGTAGGGGCACTTTTGCCAACCTGAATCGAGATTATTTTGGCACGAGTTGCAACCTCCCCACCTCGGGTAATCCTCGCAATGCAACGACGGCCAGGTTGTGTAAGGTATACCTTTCTTGGAGGTTGCGCGTTGTTTACAAGTCGGACAGGGGGGAGGTTGCCGATGGTAGTGCAAGGTGTACCCTTCCGTGGTGGTTGTGCACTGCTAACAAGCTGGACAGGGGGCGGACTGCCGATGGCGGCGCAAGGTGTACCCTTCCGTGGTGGTTGTGCACTGCTAACAAGCTGGACAGGGGGCGGACTGCCGATGGCGGCGCAAGGTGTACCCTTCCGTGGTGGTTGTGCACTGCTAACAAGCTGGACAGGGGGCGGACTGCCGATGGCGGCGCAAGGTGTACCCTTCCGTGGTGGTTGTGCACTGCTAACAAGCTGGACAGGGGGCGGACTGCCGATGGCGGCGCAAGGTGTACCCTTTCTTGGTGGTTGGCGCGCTGCTATTAAACCGGATAGGGGTCAAGAGGTCGATGGCGGTGCAAGGTGTCCCACTTCTTGTGGTTGGTGCACTGCTTACAAGCTGGACAGCGGGTAGGCTACCGATGTTCAGTGTAAGGTGTACCCTTTCTTTGAGGTTGGCGCGCCATGCACAAGTCGGTTAGGGGGGAGGTTGCCTATAGTATGACAAGGTGTACCCTTTTTTGCAGGTTGGCGCGCTTCGCACAAGCCGGTTGGGGGGCAGGTCGCCGATGGTAATGCATCGCGTACCCTCTTTTACAGATTGCGCACGATGCNACCGATGTTCAGTGTAAGGTGTACCCTTTCTTTGAGGTTGGCGCGCCATGCACAAGTCGGTTAGGGGGGAGGTTGCCTATAGTATGACAAGGTGTACCCTTTTTTGCAGGTTGGCGCGCTTCGCACAAGCCGGTTGGGGGGCAGGTCGCCGATGGTAATGCATCGCGTACCCTCTTTTACAGATTGCGCACGATGCGGCCGGTTTACAACAAACTGCAGTGCTCAACACTGTGTGAGTGGCGGGTTCCATTCCCCTGCACTAGGTTCTTTTTTGTTCATGTTTCATTTGTTTTTTCTCCCCTGTATTCGAATCACTACAATTTTACCGTCGGCACATTCCCGAGCAAACCTCTGAGACAACGACATCCCGTGCCCATGCATCATACACATTGCCAGCAGCTCTAGCTTAAAGCCATCTCCGCCCGCGGCTTATCATCTCTACCTAGGGTCAACACCCCAAGTTGCACGATTACATGTAAGCGAGAACCACAACAGGTACTTCAAATTGAAACAATGCATACATACCCTTCCGAACGTCGTTCTGTTTATTGAATGTCCCCCCACAACAGCGTGCCCTCACCAATGACCGTCAGCGACGTCGATCATGGAGACGATCCACAACCCCCGCAACGAACTACCGTAAATGACACAATATAAGAAACCCCGGTGGTAACATTTTGG